GACCTTTGTTTCTTTTTTTGCATCTATTTCTCTCTTCTGTTGTTTTCTTTCTTTCAAGAGACAGGGTCTCACTCTGTCACCCAGGCTGGAGTGCAGTGTCTTGATACTGGCTCACTGCAAAGTCAAATTCCTGGGCTCAAGGGATCCTCCTGCCTCAGCCCCCTGGGTTGCTGGGATTGCAGGCTTGCGACACTGCACCCAGCTAATTTTTAAATTTTTTGTAGAGATGGGGTCTTGCTGTGTTGCCCAGGCTTAAACTCCTGAGCTCAAGTGATCCTCCCATCTCCGCCTCCCAAAGTGCTGAGATTACAGGCATAAGCCCCTGGTGCCTGGTCCCAGCTGAATTTTTGTTCTTGTTTCTTCATAAATATTCTGTGTACGTACCCAGCTGATTGTTTTATTTTTTGTAAAGATGGGGTTCTTGATATGTTGCTCGAGTTGGTCTCAAACTACTGGCCTCAAGCGATCTTCCTGCCTCAGCCTCCCAAAAGGCTGGGATTCCAGACATGAGCCACCACACCTGCCCTGTCTTCTGTTATTTTCTCTCCATCTGGCATTCTCTTACTCTTTCATCTCAACCGTGATTTGGGCTTTCTCCTCTCCCTTCTCTATTTCTTCCCATTCTCCTATCCCCATGTCCTCCCTGCTAACTCCTGATACCCACAGGGCCCCTCAATCCCATTTTAGTCAGCTTAGGTAATGATAGCTACTAAAACAAAACCACTAAGAATATGGGGCCTTAACACAACAGACTTGTATTTCTCACTCATGTGAAGTCCAGTTGGCGTGGGAGGTAAGGAAGGGTCCCTCTGCTTCATGCAGTCACTCAGGGATCCAAGCACCTTCCATCCCGTTACTCTGCAATGCTTCGGATCCTTTGTAGTTCTCTGCAGGATTCCTTCATTCTGGATGAAAATAAGATTGTGGGCCGGGCGCGGTGGCTCAAGCCTGTAATCCCAGCACTTTGGGAGGCCGAGACGGGCGGATCACGAGGTCAGGAGATCGAGACCATCCTG